GCAGCGGAGCTGGCGGTTAGGAGAGGCTGCAGAATCACAGTGCTGGGGAGCGTCAACACTAGTGAAGGCGCCAGGAAGCCGTTTTGACCAAACGGGACCAGTTCCGACCGCCTCGCACTCCCTTGGCTGGCTGTGAGCGGGGCAGACGTCGGGGACGACAGGGCAGACCAGAAACTCGAGAAGTAGAGCGAGTGCTGGCTGCTGTCGCGTCCGCCTCTGCGGCCCCTGGACTGTAGCCCGCCAGGCTCCTCTGTCGTGGGATTCCTCAGGCAAGAACACTGGAGCGGGTCGCCATTCCCTTCCCCAGGGGATCTTCCCGATCCAGGGACTGAAACTGGACTCAAACCAGGCTGAAACCAGACTTTACCATCCCAGCCACCAGGGAAGCACCCAGCAAAAGTCTGCCCAAATAGTGTAGACCAGGGGTGCCCGATCTTTTGGCACCGGGGCCGGTTTCATGGGAGACACTTTTCCCACAGACCAGGGCTGGGAGGCAGGATGGTTTCAGGACGAGGCACGCGCGTCACATTTGCGGTGCACTTTGTTTCTAATCGGACGCTGCTGAGGCTCCTCAGCCCAGAGGCTGGAGATTTCGGTCTCGAGGGTGCGGAGCAGTACGGGCCTGGACGGGGCAGTGGCCATGAAGGCAAAGAGGGGACCATGGAACACAAGAGGTATTTAGGAGGTGGAGTTCAGAGAAAAAACTACTGCAACCTTGACAAGCAGCCCTAGCACTGACATATTCTTGTGGATTCAGTTCCTGCTGGGCGACCTTTTTCACGGAAAGAGCAGCAATGCTACCTGCTGTTCTAAGGCTGTTTTGATTTGAGAAATTGAACATTAGAGCTTTAGTGCAGACTCTGCGTGGCTGTGTGTCACCAACAGAGGGGCTGAGCCCCGAGAAGCTGAGCTTTTAGCAGCCAGCTGACCGTTAACTCCTGGCCACGGTGCTCACAGCTCAGGGGCGCTGGGTTGTCAGGCGCTGAAAGCTGGAAGCAACGGGGCATCTTCACTAAGAAACTGAGCTTGGTGTCAGCCAGGCCTGGGTCTGAATTCCAGATTTCCTGTTGGCTTCAATTCTTGTTTCTGAACACTGTCTGTGAAATAGAGATTGGCCTCCCAGGTGGTTCAGTGGTAAAGAATCCACCTGCCAATGCAGGAGCCTCGGGTTTGACCCCTGCGTTGGGAAGGTGCCCTGGAGAAGAAAATGGTAACCCACTCCAGTATTCTTGCCTGGAAAATTCCATGGAGCCTGGCAGGCTACAGTCCATGGGGTCGCAAAGAGTTGGACATGACTGAGCACGCATAGGCATCTAAAATAGAAATTAGAGTACCTATGACCTAAGGTTATTTGGACTAAATGAGATACTTAAATTCACACATAAGTGATGGAGCTAAGATTCCACCATAGAGTTAGCTGATAAAAGTCAACACCCTCTCTTTTCCCTTCTTTCCTTTTTATATTTAACATATGCAGCATTGTTTTCATTACTTTTTAAAAAGCTACACTTTGTTTCTATTTCCCTGTTAACCCAAGAGCTGTTTATCTCAGAGAGAGCTTTTGAAAAATCCATGAAGAAAGGCTTTCTGGGCTTTGGTTTTGTTACTGACTTCCTAGTTTTACTCTACAATCATTAGAGGATATTGTCTGTATTATTTCTGCCTTATGGAACTTACAGAATTTTTGGTGACTTAATCTATGGTTAATTTGGGGAATGTTCTATGTGGATTTGAAAAGAAAACTGTATTCTTTGTTATCAGGGTACAAAGACCGTGATGTACCCAGGCCTCCCTTAACTATGCTGCTTGGGGCTTTAGTACCTTTATTTATCTTCTGTCCAGCGGCCCTGTCTTGGGTTGAGAGGAGTATGCTGAACTACTCAATATTCGTGTGCTTCTATTTCTTCTCGCTTTTCATGCAGATTTTGCTGTCGAGGTTGCTGTGTGACGATGTGCTGAAGACTCTGTTCCTGTGAACTCTGACCTTAAGTATAAAGCAGCCCTTCTTCGTCTTGCTTTGTGCTTTTCAGTCTCACTTTACCCTGTCATATATCAAGTTAAATTGATGCTTTTTTTGTTTGTTTTTGCTGTTAGTTTGCATTTGCTTTGTATAATCTGCCAGCCCTACACCATATTTCTTTTTAAACATTTTTTTGACTGTGCCACATGGCATGCATAATCTTAGTTCCCAGACCAGGCATTGAACCTGCATTTCCTGCACTGGAAGCTTGAAGCCTTAACCACTGAATCACCAAGAAAGTCTTGCGAAGTCCATCTTTTTCAATGGTATATTATACTCTGCATAGCACATGACTTGAGTTTCACAAAGTATTTGTTGCTTTTTTCTTTTCTTCTCTTATTCAACCAGGGTCACCTAGTCTTTTTTTTTTTTTTTCAGTTTTAATGAGGTATAACTGAAAAAATTATAAGATATGTAAAGTTTACATCATGGTGATGTGATACACAGATTTACTGTGAAAGGTTAATTTACTGTCAGCAGTTTTGGATCTGTTTGGACAAAAATCCCCTCCTGGACCCTCTGGCTTAGCTGGATTCTCACTTGCAGTCACACCCTGCTGGTTCTCACACCCCAGAGGATAGACTTTCCCTCACTATGTAGGGGCCCCTACATACACTTATCAGTGATCAACTTGAAGAGCACCAACATAAAAGTTTAAAAAATGGGAACTATATTCAATATCCTGGGATAAGTCATAATGGAAAAGAATACTAAAAAGAGTGTATATATGTATAATATAACTGAATAACTTTGCTATATAGTAGAAATTAACACAACATTGTAAATCAACTATACTTCAATAAAATAAACCTTTTGATCTAAAGCCTGATGTCTCTCCAACGATTCTTTAACAGGTAATTAAATGCTTGGGAGAAATGTGGCCACATGTAAGTCCACAGTTGAAAGGAACCCTAGACATTGTCTCAAACCCTCTCCCCAATGCACTAACCACTTCTACGACAGCCAAAGTTTTCTAGTCTCTGTATTTTTCTGGTAATGGTAAACTAACACTGTCACCCATTCTATGGGAACAAGATGAAAGCCCAGTTGTATCATATACTAGTTATGAAGACAGGAACTTATATAAGCCCCGAGCCTCAGTTATCTTTATCTGTAGAATGGGGATGATGACTGAGACTCAGAGGTCTAAGCATGGTTACAGATTCAAGGACCAGGTGGAAAATGTGAAGACCCAGGCAGATAATGAACTGAATCCCTTAAGTGTAAGGTATTAGGGCTGATGAGAAGAGCTCTTCTCTTCTCAAAGGAGAGGTCTTTTCTGGGCTCTTACAGATTAGAGCCCTGCCTGCAGCAATGTAGGCCTAAGGATATCACTAGATCTTCTAATTTTTCTAGAAAAGCACAAATCTGGCTTTTTAACATGAAATTTCACAACTAGTCAACGTGACAACTAATTCACAGATGTCTTTGCAACCCTAGATAGGCCATAAAAAAAACATAACTGTAGGCTAGGCACACCAGAAGGCGGGCACTTTGCAGTCTCTGGGCTAAAGTCATTAGCATGCTGCCCGGCACAAGACCAGCAGTGGGTAAGTTATGAATTCATCAGATCTGAAATCTGAGACCTCAGACTCTCGGGAGAAAGGACTTGGTCTGACTGGGTTGGTGAAAAAGTCAGGGAAGAGGAAACAGTGCGTAGGACGTCCGCTGCAGCCCGGGAAGGCGGCAGGAACCTAGCAGGCGTGAGGACAGGGCAGGCGGGCCCCCTGGGAACCGCCCTCCGCGCCTCCTCCACGCCCCTCTCACACCAAGGCCCATCACTGACTGGCCCATCACCCAGTACTGCAGGTACTACTGACCGAGCATACGGCAGCCGGCTGGGGTCGGAAGGTCAGAAGGGCCCGCAGCTTCCTCAGCCTAAGTTCACAAGGCAGAGAACCAAAAAGCTGGGAGCCAAGGAGGCAACTTTCTCCTTGTTTCTATTTCCTTTGGGTTTTCCCCACCAGCAGCCCTGAACCTAGCAAGCACTTCCTCCTCGAGAGGGTCACAGCTGTCCCACAGATGTTATAAATAAGGGCCAGGAGAGCTGTCTATTTTTAGCATCTAAATGTGGATGCAAAGGTCCCCAAGATTCCCCCTTCGCTGGCTCCATTTCCCTCTTTCCTTTCTACACGTCTTTTCTTTTCATTCCAGATGTACATTTTCTGAGCAAAGGAGATGAAGACTTTGGGGGCAAGAGAGACCCCAAATATTTGCTCATCTTGCCTGGTCTCCTTCTGATTGCCATGGATTGGTTTACACATCTAGCCTGTGACAAAGAAGTCACCTACAGGCTTTGGGAAACTGCACCCTAGGCTTGGATCCAGACCACTCCGCTTCCTCTCTTGAGAATAAAGAGAGGTTCAGAGAAGAAAACAGCATTGAAGATCCTCTGCCTGAACCTTCCAAGGGCACAGGTGAGGGCAGCAGGGAGGCCTACATGCTCATTACTGTGCACTCGTGCTCAGGCCCTTCACTGGTGTCCGACCCTCTGCGACCCCATGGCCTGTAGCCCACCAAAGTACATGTCCACGGAGTTCTCCAGGCAAGAATACTGGAGCGGGCTGCCATTCCCTCCTTCAGGGCATCTTCCTTACCCAGGGACTGAACAGTCCCACAGCTCCTGCATGGCAGGCAGATTCTTTACCACTGAGCTACTAGGGAAGCCCATGCTTTTTACCACCGACATCAATGATAGTATTGCAGCCTATATTCATGGAAGGCTCCTCTGGGCTAACTACTTCACATGGAGTTCCTTATTCAGTCTTCACAACTCAGGGAAGTAGGATTTCAATTATTCCCATTTTACAGAAGCCAAAACGGAGGCTCAGCGCTTGAGAAACTGGCCCAGCGTCCGGCAGAGGCACACCCAACGAAGAGAGCGTAACACCCAGATTCCTCAGGAGAGAGGAGGAGCAAGAGAGAAGCGGGCGCGCTTGGCACACACGCCGCTGGGTCCGGGCGCGGCTCCCGCTCCTACCTGCTCTCGGGGTCGGCCAGCGTCAGGCTGCGGGTGACGAAGCACATCCTGAGCGGGATGCTCCTCCGGTCTCGGTGGAAGGACGGCGGCTGCGACGCCAGCGGGTCCGGGGCGCCGGCCCCGAGCCGCGGGGACTCGGGCGGCGGAGTCTCCCAGCCGATCTCGGACACCGGCGAGCCCTTGGTCACGTAGGGGGTGGCCTCGCGCATGTACTTCACTGCAAGCAGAGAGCGGACAGTGAGCCTCGGTCAGCGCGGAGGGTCCCGGCGGGCCGGGGCTTTCGGAGACGCGCAAGACCAGCTCCGCACAGGACCCTTACATTCCCCCGATAACAGCTGTCTGTCCCTTAAATTAGGTGCCAACGTCGTTTCCAGAACCCGCCATTAAGGTGACCCGAACTTGAGAAACGACTCTCAGCCTTTTTCGATTATGACAACATCTATCTTTTCTGATTATAAGGTGCATTCTGGGGAAGAGGCGGGAAAACAAATGGAGACTGAGAAAGCGTATCTTAGGCAAAAGAAACACACAATTATTCAGTATAGGTGTAGGGTATCTGGTGCCCACACTGACCACCCACATTACCGTTATTCTGTTGGGAAGCAAGGACAATCTTTTCAAAAAACAGTGCTGAGAACATGTATGTAAAGAAATACACAGAAAAACACTTATTCTGTAATGGTAAAAATCTATGATGGCAAAAATATTACTTGTAAGAGCTGAAAACCAGAAACAATCTAAATGTCCAATAAAAGAGAACTGATTAAAGAAATTGGAGTGGGTTGCCATTTCCTTCTCCAAAGACACCTTTACGTTCATTTAAAAATGGGTAGATACAGATGTCTTAATGTGGAAAAGCCTGTAAGATTGACTATCCATTTTTTAAAAAGCTATAGAGAACAGTGCATATACTGTAATCATTTGTGTATACAATCATAGATATATATGCTTTTGTAGCTACTACAATTTAGGGATAGAAATCCAAGAAAATGTTAATGTAGTTAGCTCTGGGAGTGGATATGAAACTCAAGATGATGGAGAAATAGACTTCTATTATTCATTTATTACTCTTTTATATCATTATCATGTTTAGCCATTGTGTTTTAAAATTTAAAGAAACAAAATTGCTTAAGAGCTGAGTGGGGCAGACTGAAATTCTGCTCTCTGATACGTTTACTGGATCTTAAGGTGTTACTTGGGGCTTCTCTAGTGGCTCAGATGATAAAGAATCTGCCTGCAATGCAGGAGACGTGGGTTCCATCCCTGGACCAGGAAGATCCCCTGAAGAAGGAAATGGCAACCCACTCCAGTATTCTTGCCTGGAAAATTTCATGGACAGAGGAGCCTGGCAGGCTACAATCCAGAGGGCTGCAAAGAGTTGGACACGACTGAGGACTAAGCACACATTAAGCTATTATTTGCGGATTCTGAATTTAAGCATTTGGTCCTTAGAGAGCATTAGAGTTGACAAGGCAACTGGATTCTTGAAACATGCAATATAAACTTCCATATCCTTCTTTCTGCCATTCACACAGCCTGGTTCCCTGCTGCCTGGGGCTGCGGGAAGGACCTGGCTAAGTCCCTTAATGGCATCTGGTATTACAAATGGCAGTGGATTAAAATGGGTGGCAAACCCAAGGGGCAATTCCTCCAGATCTTGGGCGATTCAGTTGCACAAACTAGTGGCTTCCCTGTAGGAGACACGGAGTCAGGTTCCTGGAGACTACAGGAAAAACAGTACGTGGTTTCCATACTAAAGAGTAACAAAGTCACAGGGCACTGTCATGGATACTGTTGTGTGCCAGCAGACCCTTTTCTGCAGGACCTGTATCCTAGCTGCCATGTGTTGCTGAGAACCACTCTGAGCTGCTCTCCCATTCTGGAACACTGCTCTTGGACATCAGAAGTGATCAACCCGAGAGACTACAGGTGCACTGCTCCATCCTCCAGACAGAGGATCTGCTTCTCTGGAACCCCACCTAATACTGCGGCATAAAACAAGGATATAAGCGATGGCATAAAGCAGAATAAGCTATAACAAGAAAAAAGGACCCTGGAAGAACTCATCAGAAAAATGCATCTAGGAGTTTGAGTGACAGGTTAGGTTCACAACAATTTAATAAGCAGACCAAACATACCCAGATGCATGCAATGTGGGCATATATTGGGAGATCCAATCGTAGATATTAAAACCAGCCGTTATTAATTTAAGACAGAGGAGATGTCATTTAGCACCAATACATATTTGAAAAGATTTCAGGATTTTCACTGAATATAAATGCAATTGGGAGAAAACAGCTCCCTGGTTGCTGCAAACCTGTTAGCACAGGTTGCAAACAGAAGATTATTCACGAACAGTGTATTTTAAGAAATACCATTTAAAAAGGAGCACAGACATACCTATGAACAAAGGCAGAAAATTCAGTGGGACAGGTTTAAGCTGTCTAAAAACTGGAATAAATAGACCTCTTCTGATGTTACTGAATTTTTTTTTTATCTCCGAGTATGTTTTTGTAGAAGCTAGAACTCTGCTTAGCTCTGTATATTGTTGAATTATGCTTATTGATAGTGGGAAACTCAAGTATCACACCCAAGATTGTTTGATGATTCTCCATTGATTGCTTTATTATCCTTCTGGCTGGAGGAGGGGGTGAGTGTTGCAGAAGTGGCAATCCAGGGATGCTTCTTGGAGTGGGTGGCATTTGAACTTGACTTTAAAGGGTAGTTAAGTAGAGTTAAGAATAAAAGTCGTTTTATATAATGTGCATGCATGCATGCTCAGTTGCTTCAGTTGTGTCCAACTCTGTGTGACCCCATGGACTGTAGCCGCCAGGCTCCTCCATCCGTGGGATTCTCCAGACAAGAATACTGGAGTGGGTTGCCATATCCTCCTCCAAGGGATCTTCCCAACACAGGGACTGAACCTGAGTCTCCTGCGTCACTGAGCCACCGGGGAAGCCCTTTTACATAATGTACTCTGATTTACAATTTTTATCACAACTCCATAGAAAAGGAAAATCAGACCTCAGTCTGGAAGGGGGATAAAGAAGGAACATCCATCATACACTTAGTGCCAAGTCTGGAATCAGGGGCCTTCCATAGCTTCCCGCATGTAATGCATGTAGCCCACCAGGTCCTCTGTCCATGGGATTCTCCAGGTAAGAATACTGGAGTGGGTTGCTACGCCCTCCTCCAGGGTCTCTTCCCAACCCAGGAATCGAACCCAGGTCTCTTGCACTGCAGGCAGATTCTTTACCATCTGAGCCACCAAGTATCTATGTATCCACAAGCAATAAAAGAATACATTTTAAAAGAAAAATACATTACATTGCTATCCCTTTCAGACCCTGTTAGAAAGAAACATATGGCTATTCTAATTCTGGGGCCACTAAGAGCTTTACATAGGTTATTCCTTGCAAGACAAATATATTATTTTACACATTAACACACCAATGCTCAGAAATTTAACTTAAGTGGCTAGTGGCTGGTAAAGCTGGGGTTTGATTTCCCAGAGATCATATTCTTTCATGAAATCTGGCCAGCCCACCGAGATGAAGTATTCAAAACGGGCTAACAGGGTTAGTTATTCTTTATTTGGTAGGCACTAGGTACAGCCCTGGTGATCTAGGAGCAAGAGAATGGTAGAACTGAGGGTCAGATTTAGAGGGAACTCCAGAAAAGAGGGGCTTCCAGGTGGCACTGGTGGTAAACAGCCCATCTGCCAACGCAGGTTCAATCCCTGGGTCAGGAAGATCCCCTGGAGGAGGGCACGGCAACCCACTCCAGGTAAGAAAACCCAGTACTCTTGCCTAGAGAATCCCATGGACAGAGGAGCCTGGTGGACTACAGTCCACAGTGTTGCAGTCAGACACAACTGAAGCGGCTCAGTAAGCAAGGATGCACCAGGAAAGAGAGACTGGGCACAGCAGAGGGAGAAGACGCTAGATGCTGACCTACCAGTTACACGACCATCAGCGCTTACTTCCAGAGACACCATGAACACTCAGAATATTCATACAAGGTGTGAATCATTACAGAAATGTGTGGTTTTGTCCATCATGAGTAGAGGCTGGGGAAGTATAGCAAATCTTAACCTAGAAGCAAAGATTTATCAAGCAGTGTGGTTTAATTCAAGGAGGGTAAAGTGTTACCTAAGACTAGATTTTTTTTTAATTTATGTATTTTTGATTGAAGGATAATTGCTTTACAGTACTGTGTTGGTTTCTGCCAAACATCAACATGAATCAGCCACAGGTTTACCCGTGTCCCCTCCCACCCCCCTCCCACCCCACCCCTCGAGGTTGTTACTGAACCCCAGTTCCTGAGTCACACAGCAAATTCCCGTGGGCTGTCTATCTTGTCTACGGTAATGTAAGTTTCCATGTTACGCTCTCCATACGTCCCGCCCTCTCCTTCCTCCCCGCAAGCCGTGTCCATGAGTCTGTTCTCTACGTCTGTGTCTCCACTGCTGCAAATAGGTTCGTCAGTACTATCTTTCTAGATGCCATATATATACGTTACTATACGATATTTGCTTTTCTCTTTCTGACTTACTTCACTCAGTATGATAGGCTCTAGGTTCATCCACCTCATTAGGATGGACTCAAATGCATTCCTTTTTTATAGCTGAGTAATATTCCATTGTGTATACGTACCATAGCTTTCTTAATCATTCACCTGTCAATGGACATCTAGGTTGCTTCCATGTCCTAGCTATTGTAAACAGAGATGCAGTGAACATTGGAGCACATGTACTAAGACTAGATTTGACAGTAATAAGTGTATTAAATAATACCGAGATTTGCTTTTCTTTTACCAAAAGTCTAGGGTGAAACAAAAGGGCTGCCAGGGCAACTCTCAGCTCCCTGAAGTTTTCAGGTCCTCAGGCTTCCTGCTGTACATTATCAACCTGCCATCTAATGACTCAACAGTGCTGCTTGGGTTCCAGCCATCACAACCAAATTCCCACTAGTAGGAAGAAGGAAAAAGTAAAAGACACACTATCCTTCTTCCTTCAGGGTCAGTTTTAAGAAACTGACACATTATCTGCTTACAGCCCATCAGCCAGAATTTAGTCACATGGTCACTTCTAGATAGAAATTTACTCTTAACTCTTGACAGCTCTATGCCAACCTGGCTAGAAGTTAATGAGAAGGGAGGCTACTACTGTGGGATAAGAAAAGGGGGCAATACTTAGCTTTTGCCACAAGGAGACAG